TGGGGAAAAGAGCAAGACATGCACACAAGACATTTAGCATGAAGAAAAATACTGGGAAGAACTGGGGAACAGTACTGGACGACAATAGGAATGTTATTGCAAGGCAGCAAGTGCTCATGTGCTAAATTTGAGGGACCATTAGCCTAAGAAGGCACAGAACCCCATGAACTAGAGTTGTGCAAGAAGATTTTTTTAATGCAATTTCTTTTTCTTTCAATATTACATATTTTTTAAAATTGAGATATAATCGACATATAACATTGTATTAGTTTCAGGTGTACAATATAATAATTTGATATTTGTATATATTGTGAAAAGGTGGATGTTCATTCATCAACATACATGGTTATAAAATGTTTTTTTTAATGATGAGAACTTCCAAGTACTACTCTCTTTGCAATTTTCAAATATATAATGTACCGTTATTAATTATAGTCACCAAGCTTCTCATTACATCCTCATGGCTTATTTGACTCATAACTGGAAGTTTTTACCTTTAACCACCTAATCCCATTTTGGCCGAACTCATCCTGACCTCTTCCAAATACCAGTCTGTTCTCTGTATCTACAAGTTTGGTTTGGATTTTTTTAGATTCCACATATGTGACATCATATGGTATATGTTTCTCTCTGACTTATTTCACTTAACATACTGCCCTTAACATCCATCCATGTTGTTGCAAATGATAGAATTTCATTTATTTTATGGCTTAATAATATTTATATGTGTTTATATATTCACATTATTATATAAGCATATATCATATATACTTAACAATATTCATATATGTGCATATACTTATATGAATATACATTATGTATAAAATATCACGTTATGTATTCTCTCATCTGTCAATGAATACGTAGGTTGTTTCCATGTCTTGGCTATTATAAACAATGATGCAGTGAATGTGGGAATGCAGATAATTCCATTTTTTATTGTAGTAAAATATACATATACATTTTTACTGTCTTAACCATCTTAATGTATACAGTTTAGTGGCATTAAGTACATTCACAGTGTTTTGCAACCATCACACTATCTAGTTTGAGAACGTTTTCATCACCAGAAATGGAAACTCACTATTGGGAGATTTTGTAGAAAGTGTTATAGACTCTTGAGGGATAGCTAGGATAAAGAGGCAGATGTGCTCTAGCCAGTTTGGCTCAGTGGATAGAGTGTTGGCCTGTGGACTGAAGGGTCTTGGGTTTGATTCTGGTCAAGGGCATATGCCTAGGTATGGACTCAGTTCCCAGAGGGGAGCATGCAGAAGGCAGCCAATCAATCAATGATTCTCTCTCATCATTGGTGTTTCTATCTGTCTCTTCCCTCTCCCTTCCTCTCTGAAAACAATTATATATATATATATATATATATATATATATAATCTAATAAAAGAGCAATATGCTAATTGACCATACCTCTGCTATGCCCACCAGCCAATCAGGAGGAAGTTTGCAAATTAATCCAACCAAGATGGCTACAGCCATGGAACGAGCAGGAGGCTTGGGTTTCCCTGGCAATGAAGAAAGCTAAGCTTTCTGTATACCCTGGCTGGCCCAGGCCTCCACCTAAGGCTACAAAGTTTCAATTATAGAAGATAAATAAATCCCAACAAAAAATGGTGGCAGCCATGGAGCTGGAGAGAGTAGGAGGCTTGAGTTGCTCCTGGAGATGAAGGAAGCCAATCTTCTGCAGCCCTGGCCTGCCTTGGCCTCTGCTCAAGGCTACAAAGTTTCAATTATGGAAGATAAACAAATCCCAGATACCAGGACCTCCGCTTGGGTCACGGGGAAGAGTGGCCAGACTGAAAACCACCACAGGCCCCTCACCCAGGCTGCCCCATGCCCCAAAAGAACTCCCACCCTGATCCGGGACACCCTTCAGGGCAAACCAGCTGCTCCTACCTGTGCACCAGGCCTCTATCCTATCTAATCCTATCTAATAAAAGAATAGTATGCAAATTGACCCCAACACACAAGATGGCTGCCCCCATGTGGTCAAAGATGACTATCCCCGTGTGGACACAAGATGGCCACCACAAGATGGCCAGCAGGGGAGGACAGTTGGGAGGGACTAGGTCTGTAAGGGAGGGCAGTTGGGGGTGATCGAGCCTGCAGAGGAGAGCAGTTAAGGGTGACCAGGCCTACGGGGGAGGGCAGTTAGGGGCAAACAGGCTAGCAGGGGAGCAGTTAGGCATCAATTAGGCTGGCATGGGAGTGGTTATGGGGTGATCAGGCTAGCAGGCAGAAGCAGTTAGGAGCAATCAGGAAGGCAGGCAGGTGAGCAGTTGGGAGACAGCAGTCCTGGATTGTGAGAGGGTAGTCAGACATCCCTTGAGGGGTCCCAGATTGGAGAGGGTGCAGGCTGGACTCAGGGACACACACCACCGTGCACAAATTTCATGCACCAGGCCTCTAATATATATATATACTACTATAAAGATATATATATATATATATATATATATATATATATATATATATATATCTTTAAAGAGGCAGATGTGAGAGGAATCCACTGGGCATGTGTAAAGAGTCGCAGCTGACAACGTGTCCAGTGCTCAGAGAATGGTGAGGAGTGGAGGTTAGTGAAGAACAATACTAAGCAGTAAGGTTGGGTGGCTTGTGTGGCTCCTCCTTGTATAACAGCAGGATTTATCCTTCTTTTTTCCTTTTAGGATCACCTTGCTCTAAGACCACCTCCCCTCAGTTGTTTGGCTCCTAAACTCCCTCTCAGCTCTGCTGTGGGATCTCCACCCTCTCTGTTCTGGGCGCCACCTGCATCTCCAGGGTTCTGGTCCACCTGCAACATTCTGCTGCAGCTGTTCCAGTCAGCGAGCTTCAGTCAGTGGCTGGCGGAGCAGGCGGCCCTTTGCATGCCCACCCTGGGCTGCAGTTCCTCCTGGCACCATTGACACAAGACTGTGGAGCACAGAAACTTCACCGATGGAGATTACAGGAGACGGCATTTTTCATTTGGGAACCTTAAAGCCATGGGATTCCCCTGTTCTCACAGAGTTCCTAGTGGTCTAGGGCAGTGGTCGGCAAACTGCGGCTCGCGAGCTACCTGTGGCTCTTTGGCCCCTTGAGTTTTTAGCAAAGGCCAGCTTAGGAGTACTATAATTAAGTTAATAACAATTTACCTACCTGTATAGTTTAGGTTTAAAAAATTTGGCTCCCAAAGAAACTTCAATCATTGTACTGTTGATATTTGGCTCTGTTGCCCACCAACACTAGGTCTAGGGGGAAACACTAACCTAAGCCCAGGCCCATCACAGACTCCCTAGGATTTTAAAACTAAAGCTCTGAAACAATAGCTCTTTTTATATAGTGGTAGAAATTGAAGAATGAAACCCAGAGGTTGTTGGCAGCTGGGTTTCCTGACATTTGGAATGATGATCTAGAGTTAGAGTCAGTGAGGCCAACACAGAGAGAGAACAGGGACAAGAGAGAGAGGGAGGGAGGGAGGGAGGGAGGGAGGGAGGGAGAGAGAGAGAGAGAGAGAGAGAGAGAGAGAGAGAGAGAGAGAGAGAGAGAGAAACAATGAGTCTCGGTAGCTTGCCCTTGCTCTGACTTGGCTGTTTCATAGTTTTGTGAACATGCAAGATAAATCTGTATTCTTCTGATAAGTACTCCTTTTGCCTCTATGGCTTCAGTTGGGTTTCTAGCAGTTTCCACCATAAGAGCCCTAATCCTTGGTAAGAGGCATGCATGGGCACCTCCAGGAGTGCAAAGGGCTTAAATAAGATATCAGAAGCAAGCAGAGCAAGAGGCGAATGGAGGAAGCCACATGTCATTTGTCAGAGTGTAAACACTCAGACAAGAGGTGGCAAGAAATGAGGCTACTAAGTAGGAAGAAATCTGATCATGCGACCTGGGTATATTTTGTAAAAGATTTTGGACTTTATTTCGTATATATTCTGCATGTATTATAGGATTCTACGTAGGCATTAGGCAGAGGTTCTTTAAACTGTACTATAATTAATAGTAATTAAGAGGTTCTTAACCCGGGAGTCACAGGCAGGCTTACATTGTTCCCAAATCCTCTGAATAGTATAACAAATCTTTGGGTGTGTATGAGACTGTCTCCATTGTTTTTGGTGTGTGTGTGTGTGTGTGTGTGTGTGTGTGTGTGTTTTCCCCTGCAATGGAAAAGGTAGCTAACTTCATCAGATATTAAAGAAATCCCTGACCTCAAATACAAAATATGTTATGAACCACTACTTATTTACAAGCATCTTCAGGAATAACTCGCTTAAAACACTCCTCCAAATTTCACTTTCACCCTGAATGTTCACTCTTGCACAATTGTTTAGCACAGAAAAAAAATGCTCTATAACTGTTGTGTTGAGATGTAGAGATCATATAGACGTAGTTATTTATGGAGATTTTAACCGGGAGTATTGGATATGACCTCTATCCTGTGCTTGGCTTGGGCAGCCAGAACAGACCCGCAGGCTCTTGCAGGCTGCACCGAAGGCACCACCGCTGTCCCGGAAAGCCAACTCCAAGCATCCTTGTCCTTGCACCTGCGGGTGGCACGACTACAGCTCCCAGGATGCCTCGCGCTCCGAGCGGGGCGGGTCCCAGCCTCGCGGCTCTGGCCCCGGGAGGCCCGGGGAGGCGGGCCGGGCGGAGGGCGGGCCGGAGCGCTGGTGCTGATGCGGGATGGCTGGGCGCGCGGGGGCCCGGCAGCGCTGAGCCGGGCGAGCCTCGCAGCCTGCGCATCGCCTGCCGCCGGCCGCGTGGTCGCGGGCAGCGGGGCCGGGCGCGGCGCGGGGCCGGGGCGGGCAGGTCTGCAGCCGGCGGGCCCGGAGGCCGGTAGGCTGCACCCATCGGCCCCCGAGCGAGCGGCGGGAGCTGCCCACCTTCCGAATCCGCGGCGATGACCTGCTAGGAGCTTCCCGGCGGCTGCGGGCGGCGGTGCGTGGCCTCCTCCCTCGTCGCCGATCCCGGCCCCCTCCCCGCCCCGCGCCCCTTCCCCGCCGCCGGCCGCGATGGCGGACCCCGCCGAATGCAGCATCAAGGTGATGTGCCGGTTCCGGCCCCTCAACGAAGCGGAGATCCTCCGCGGGGACAAATTCATCCCCAAATTCAAAGGCGACGAGACCGTGGTCATCGGGGTAAGTGGCCGGAGCGTCCGGCCCCCCTCCTGCTCCGCGCGCCCATCGCCGGCTCCCCGACGCCCCAGGCCGAGCCCCGAGCTGCTCGGACCGCCCCTCCGGACGTCCCCGCGGGGTGCTTTCCCGAGTGGACGGACGAGGGACCCCCCGCCCCTGCACCCCGGTTCCCTCCCGGGCGGGTGGCTGGAGGGGCGGCGGGGTGGGCCCCGGTGGAGAGGGTGGGGGCGGGGGGCGCGGACGGGCTCGGCGTCGCCATTGTGCGCGGGGTGGGGGCCCGGGTGGGCCTTTTGTTCCCCTCCCTGGTCGTGCCGCGTGGGCAGGGGGTTCAGGGCGCCCTCAGGCCGGGATGCCCAGGCTCCCTCCCCTTCAAAGTGTGAGCTCTGCAAACCCACCAGTGATCCCGGGGATCATCAGTTCGATTTATCGAACATTTTTTTTTTTACCTTTTCTCACAATCTTAGCAAAAGAAGGAGAGAGGAAAAAAAGGTCCTGAAAAAAAAAAAATCGTGGCCTCCACTTGGAGCCCCCAGGGCCGTGGAGATGCCCCTCTCCTCCCCGCGGCGTTTCACCTTGCTTTGCGCCCTGAAGGCGGGGTGCGGGGAGCACCGTGGCCTGGCGTCCTCCCCGGAGGCCTGCTGTGCCTCCTCCTGCTTTCCTCCACCCTGGCCGCCTGCGATGGACCTGGAGCCCGGGCCTGACCCCTCCCCAAATGGGGCGACTCCCCCAGATGATGCCCACCGCCCCTCGGATGTGTTTGGTGCTGAGCGCGGAGGACGGTGTACCCACCTCCGAGGGGCTCAGGCTCCCTTCCTCCCCCCAACGCGGGCCAGCAGCCCCGCTGGGCGGAGAGCAGAAGTTACTCTGTGTGGCCGGGCCCCTTCCCTCGCTCTCCCCTTCCCCCGCGACCCCCTTCCTCCCCTGCGGATGGGGCTGCTGGTGAGGGGGAGGGAATACCTTGAGTTTTTAGTTCTTAAAGGAATATGTCAACGGAAATAAACTAGCTTTGTTTCATCCCACCCTCCACTGTCCCCCGCGTGTGGGGCTGCGGGCGCCCCTCTTTGTATGCGAGCCGCGTGGGGAGAGACCGAGTGAATGGGAGCCTCGAGACCCCCGCTGACACCCGTTCCTGGCAACCCGCTGGGGGCTGCTGAGGCAGCCTTCCCGGCCCGGCATTGATTAAGTGATGTCATCCCGATCACTGAGCATGCTCCGCGAACCCCCTCCCTGCCAGGCCCCCAGTGGCTGGTGTATTTAGGTCAAGTGATGGACGGGTGACAGTGTATGGAGGGTCTCCGCCAGAGTCTGCCAGGCCTTTCCCAAACCAAAGCAGGCCCCTGCATCCTCGCCAAGGTTGTGGGCCGCCCCCCAGGGCCCCCCTGGGACCAGCAGGTGCTACATGGACCAGGAGGCCGGCCGGTCACTCTCCTCTGGCAAGGCTCCACCTTGGCGTCTGGGCTTCATGGACCTCCCTCAGGAAGGCAACTCCCCGTGATGACCTTTCCTCACGTCCTCATTCTCACATTCCCCGGGAGACTGACTTCCTCATGCTCTGTGGCTAGGGGTTCTTTCTGAGAGTTGACCTATGAGGGTTGGAAAGAGGAATGTTCTCTGCTTCATGTTAAATTGAGGAGGAGATCTATGTTGCAACTACGGATGAGGAGGGACATTCTGTAATTAATGGCAGATATAGGATATTGATCTATCTATGGCCAGTGCAGGGGGGAAATAGTAAGGTGTTTGGGTTACACACCCCTAAGCTGGGATCAGCCTACAGTCTGGGCTTGGAGTGGGAGATCCTGGGGACATTTAGTCCCTGCCCCTAGCCTTGTAACTGTTTTTTTAAACAAATAATTATGCAACACAAGAACATCTTCTGGTGACCCTATTTTTTTTTTTTTCCCTTTCTTTCTCAGAAGTTTTAAAGAACAGCTTGGAGAAGTTTCTTTTTCTTCTCCTCCTCTTCCTCCTCCTCCTGCTCCTCCTCTCCCTCCTCCTTTTCTCCTCTCCTCCTCTTCTTTCTCTTTGTTTCTAAAATCGATAGACCCGGACTAACAAAGTGCAGTAATACAGGGCGGGGCAAAAGTAGGTTTACAGTTGTGAGTATTCAAAACAGAGTTTATTCTTGTATTATTATTATTTTCCACATAAACAATTGTAAATCTACTTTTGTCCCACCCTGTATATCATCCTGTTTAATTTTTGTGCAAGCCAGAGATTAAACAGAGATTGTTAATTTTAGGGTTATGTTTATTTAATATTATGACATTACTGTGAGGGTGTATTTCCTATCTAAAGGTAGATGTTATTAACCAAATCAGTGAAAGCAAATGATTAAAATGAATTTTACCATTAAAATGGTCACCATGTAAAATAAGTAATTTAAACAAAAACATTGTCTCTGTGAATACACACATAGCTCTTCAACGATAAAGTTAGATTTTTGTATTGATCCTTTAATATGATAGTTTTCAGTTTTCTGATGAATTCCTATAGAAAGGTGTAATTATAATTGGACAGCTTGATGAATTTTTATAAAATAAACACTCCCTTGCACCTCTCAAACTAAGAAACAGACATTTTCCCAGGACCCCAGGGGTCCCCCTGGTTCCCCTTCCTGGGCTAATCCCTCCTGCTTTAGGGCAACCACCATTCTGACTTCTAATGCCATAGATTAGTGTTGCTTCCTTTTTAAAAAAAACTTTATATACAGAAAACCAAACTATTTGTTCACTTTTGTGTGTGTCTTCTTGTGCTCCACATTATGCTTATCACATTCACCCATGCTGTGGCGTGTGGCAGCCGTTTGCTCACCCTCATTGTTCTGTAGTATCCCGTATGAATGTAGCACAGTTTGTTTGTTCATTGACTGTTGGTAGCCATCTGGATGGTTTCCAATTTGGGGCTACTATAGACAGAGCTGCTAGGAACATTCTCTTATACACCTCTTCGGTGGGTGTGGGTGCAGAACAGAAAACTGCTCGATACTGAAGGGTGTTGGGACTGGGGTTGGACCCATGTGCTAGGACCCTTGCCATTCCTCATCCATAATGTGTAACTAAGGGAAGTGACAGTTCTGGCAGCCTGTCTCAGGTTGTGTTCACCAAGTAGAATAATTACCCCGTCAGTTCAGTGGGAACCAGCCCAGGAGCTCAGTTTCAGGTGGAGACTGCCCAAGGTGGGTCCTCCTTCCTTACTTGCAGGAGTGTATATGTGGGGATGACTGAAGAAGCCCAGAACCGCCCAGAAATGCCAGTAACCTTCACCCCCAACACAGACCAGTAAAGAATGAATTTCTGTGGAGTTAGCGGTTAGTCTAAATTCAGAATCCCAGACATTCTGTTTTTGAAACCGGGGTAATTTGTTTTCCTCTTTCAAGTCCTGTTAAAATCATAGGGCAATGTATGCTCATGGGAGATTTTGCAGATAGAGTTTCTAGAATCCTCCCTTTAAGAAAAATGACCTGTCTTACAGGAATCATCTCTTTTCCTGCATCTTTTCCTCCCAGCTCCTGTGCAAGGCTTTCTTTCCCTGGTCTCCCCAGTCTCTCTCTCTCTCCCCACTTTGAACTCATGTGGTATTTATTTTCTACATGATCATGTAATCTTCTGCCTTAGGTTATGATTAATTTTGATCATTTGTCTGATGGCACTGCAAGCCATCTGCAGAGAGAAACAAGGACCTTCTGTGTTTTGCTTCTTTGTACTCCCAGGCCCTTCTCCATAGAAGACATTGAACAAATGTTTATTGATCTCTTTGTTGAGTCTAGAAGTCTTTCCTTTGGCATATTTAACTTATTTTATGGACTTTTAATTGGCTGTAGACTGTGAGGAGTAGTTAAGAAATTTTAAAGAAAAGTGCTATTTCTTTGAGCAGGCCAGATAAGATAGCATACTATACTATTCTATACTATTCTAATGGTGTGAGAAAGGTGGGAGAGAACGACCTTTAGTTTTGTTAAACAAGTAGGAGACCTAAGGGCATTGGTGGTGACCTAGATGTAGAGGGTGGGTGGCCTAGAGATTAGCAAAGGGATGCCACGCTAATTTTTCCGAGAAACATACTGGATTTACGGCATTTCTTGGAGGGCTCCTCCATTATCTGCCGAAAATTCTGGCGCGTCAACCATTACTTTGGGTTCTGCCTATTGGTTCTGATGCATCTTTGTTGATGGAAACTGTCTTGGATTGTTCACGGTACGGCTCTTTGAAATGGACTTGCACACTTAAGTTTGGAGCTTTCCTTTCATTCTCTGGTTCAAAGTCCTGGGAAAGCGGTCTTGTTAAAGGTGGGTGCTTCCTCCTGAGTCCGTAAGTCCAGTCTGTTTGAGAGCCAAAGCGAAATATCAGCCACAAATCCTGCGCTGGGGAGTGGCGTGGAAAGTGGCGTGGAAAGTGCAGGAGCTTGGATTAGATCTGGGCAGTGGATGAGCAAGGAGGCAGGAGTTGGGACAGAGACAAAGTTACGAACCTCAGTTACATTGTGGTGATTGAGGACTGAAGAAGTGAGGAAATATGGCTTGACTCTTCTCTTGCCTATAGTAATGGTCTTTAAAAGCAAGAGCATTAAATTTTTTTCTTTGTAAATTTATGCACCATCAGATCAACCTCTCTCGCTCGCTCTCCCTCTCTTCCTCTCTCTTTTCCTCTTTTCCTCTCTCTCCCTCTCTCTCCGTCTCTCTCCCCCTCTCTCCCCCTTCTCTTCCTCTCTCTCTCCCTCTCTCCCCCTTCTCTTCCTCTCTCTCTCCCTCTCTCTCCCCCCTCTCATCCTCTCTCTCTCTTTCTCTTTTTGGTGTGTATTTTGTAGGGAGTTTGACAAATACAGAGTTATGTAGTTAAGCTGTATTAGTTTTCTGTTGCTGCTGTAACAAATTACCACACACTTGAGGATTTAAACAATGTGAGTTTATTATCTACAGTTTCTGTGGGTCCGAAGTCCATCAGGTCAGCTGGTTTCTCTTTTAGAGTCGCACAAAGCCAAAGCCAGGGTGGTGTTGGCAGGGC